GTGAGACAAACATCTGTCAGCTTAAATCCATACAAAGTAGAATTATCTGTAAGTCCATTATTGCCTATGCTTGACAAGTGTAGGTTATGGTAACATATACACAATTGTGTAATTTATTTATGAGATTAACGAAGACCGCTGTATGTCTGACGTGAGCTGCAAATGTGTAGCTAATCAGAGCCAAAAGTGTTAGCACATCGCCGCACTGATCCATTTTATCAATACAAGTGGTAGCCTGAGTAAAACTGATTTTGAGCAAATTCGGGGAAAACCCACTCCAAAGCAACTTGGGAGTGAAAAATACTCCAAGGGATGTTTTTTTAAGGAAATGTTCCCCCCTCCCCAGCAAACACCTGATGTTGATGAAGTCTGTTTTACTATTAAAGATTTAAAAGAGTATATTTAATAACCCATTATTCAAAATTTCGGGTGATTTAAAGTGCCTAGCAAAATTATTATTTATTCGTATTATAGACACGGTTTGGCTAAATAACATTTTTTTCCGCCTTCGATTTCTCAACTAATTACTTTAAATGAAATAATATCTTTTCTCATATAAGACAACGCTTACTGTATGATTCATGGGGGTGCGGGTTCGCCAACTTTGCTCACCTACAGCGCTGCAGTAGTTTTTTTGNAGATGTTTGTTTGGATAATTTTTTTATATTTCAAGAAGAGCAACAAGTATATACAAATGGAAATTGTAATATTTCAAAAGATTTACTTACGTTTTCTGAAAATAACATTGTTATGTCAAAAAATGAAATTAAATTGTTGTGTAAAGAAACTGTAGCTCAATCGCAATGCCCAAGTTGGTTTGAGGCAAGAAAAATTAGAATAACCGCTAGTGCTGATGTCCACAAAATAAAATCTTTGAAAAAAAAAACACAAGAGTCTCTTGTACAAGACATGATAACAACATCACGTGGATCTTTGACGACACCTGCCATAAAATATGGCAAGGCTAATGAAAAAGCTGCAATAACTGAAAACGAAAGATCCTTCCAAGTTGATATAAAACATCTGGGATTGCTGGTTTGTGAGAGCCAACCATGGTTGTGTGCCAGTGTTGATGGTGTAGTAACTAAGGACGGTTGTATTTCAAAAATTGTGGAAGTCAAGTGTCCTTTTTCTTGTGAAAAAAAGTGCATAGTTGATGTAACTAGTCAATCATGTAACGTGAGTTATTTAGTATTTTACAAAGGAAATATAGAAGTGAATAGAAATTCCATTTACTATACTCGGGGCCAAATTCAGCTTTATGTAACAGGGCTTTGTTCATGTGATCTGTATGTATTCTCATCGATGGGCTCAGTTTGTGTGAATATTACCAGAGATGAAAAATTTTTAAGCGAAGTAGTTCTTGTTTGTGAAGGATTTTACTTTAAACATTATTTACCAGCTGTTCATAAGTACTTAAGTCAAAAAGAATTTGGAGTATGCAAAAAAATTAGGCCTTTTAATGGACTAAACATGAAAAATTTCAAAAATTGTTGATTAGAAAAAAATGTTACAAATAACTTATTTAACATGTGAGTTGTGTACTATATTCTGACACTCACAGGTAAGGACTCAGTTTAGCTGGGTCACAGTAAAAACAAGAGAAAATTAATTTAAAGACTGAGTTAGGAAATAACGTGTACCTGATGCAAGCCAAAGCTAAAAGTACGACAAAAATGTAAAGATTACTTATTCTTTGTGTGACAATGTACGTGGTTTATGTGTAGCATAGATATTGTGTTGGTATAAATGTGTCAAATAAATAATTTGGTCATTGTTATAAAAGTCGTTTTATTAAAATGTTTGATGGATCATTAAAATCCTTTATGGGTTAGTAAATTATTAACAATTCATAAAATAACTTTAATCTATATGAGATGCTATTATAGGATTAACAAGTAATACAGCAAACATGCATGATGTTATCAATATACTTGAATAAATTTGTAGGTATTTTATTTAGTATGTTAAACACCTTTATCCGCTGCATGATTCTCTCTATGTGAATCCGTACGTTTGCTATGCTGCGAGTTTCTTCTGTTTCTTTTTGGGTAAATTCATGGCTNTTCTTTATTTATTAAAATAATACTGAATAAAGAAATCAATGGACAACTAACATATAAATATTCAATCTAAGCACAAGAGTTTTAACATTTTTACTAGAAAAAAAATGGTTAATGTCCCCAATTAATAATACCGAGTGTAATACATTATCTGCAAAACCCCAAAATTAACTTCCAAAATCCCAACAGTACGCGTAGGTTTCTAAAATTTTAAATGTTATATACATTATTTGTAGCCAACGTAAATGATATCCAGTGACCGAATATACTGTAGTGTCTACCTTTTTTATGAATCATACAACGTAAATCGTTTAAAATTTTTGGTGTTAGCAGATTTTATTCCTAAAAAGTAATTTTCTACTAAAATTTCTCTTTTTCTAAAGTAAAAGTACCACATACAGTAGTTGATAATTTTTCACATGATTGCAATAATAATTTTTAAAATATATACGAGTTGAGAGCATAAAAATATTTTCATTCTCATAAAAAAACGCGATCTCTCGGTTTTCTAGAGTTCAAAAAGTTTTTTACGGTTACAAACAAAAACCAAGAATTTGGTGTAATACGGTGAAACTTATCTATTTACTGGTTGTTATGATAAAAAACAGGAAATAGTAGATGCTTCGATAGCAAAGTATAAAGTTATACTCCTTTAAAATTACATGGCATACAATATAATTATGAGTGTAATAAGACTTGAGCATCTCAATTAATATTTAATAAGTTAACGATTATACACAATATATCACGGCACAATACTACATAAACAGTAAATAGGCTGGCAAGTACTAGACTGTGTGCTTTCATTAAATCTATGAATGTTTTAAAAAAAACTTTATCTCACCTACGCTAATATCGTCACGCTCAAAACTGTCACATACACTTACACACTTATTTATACTTTAAATTGACTACCCAAAATGTAATTATATTTAAAAAGTTACGAAGCACCATCTTGCAGTACGGCTTTTTCTCAATAGGGTAGTAACATGCCAGTGAGTGTCCCCTCAAAACGTTTATCATAAATTGGTTTTTTGGACAGGTATTACATAAGTAGTAGTTGCAACACTTTTGCCCGTCAAAACAAACCCCCACCACTCGGGTAGGGGTCTGCTTTGATGAAAGCAAAGTGTTGCATGTAAGTATTTGTGAGGAGGCAGTATGAAAAACTGTTGAGCGGAGGGGAAAACATGCGAAATCTAAACGTCACGGAAAGAGAGAAAGAGAGAGAGACGTGGAGAGAAAGTGACTTACGAAATCTTGGAGGCGCGGAGAGTAATGCGGTGTAATATGATAGATATCCTATTACACACGAAGGATAATATAAGATGATTGTACAGTGTGTATAAGGAAAGTGTGACCGAAGACGCTATGTTCGGGAACTGCATAACTGATGAAAGTGGTAGAAAGGAAAATACAGATTTAGACATCATTATTTAGATTGTAATTTTCTAAATTAGTCCCTAAAAATGGTGGAGCCAATCAGTGACTTCTAGACACTTCACCTACCCTTTCCTTATGATGACTTTATTAACTAACAGAACGAAAGCGCTACCTCTTTGTAACTGGACACCACACCGTTGGACTAGCCCTTTTTCAAAATGCTCAAAGTCACGTGAGTTGCGCGGGGATCGCCAAAACAAACCGATCAAGCGTACAAGCCACTTTTCTGTATACTACTTAGCTTGCCCAAAGCGATCGTGATGCCACAAGCGGTGTGCGGAGACTCGACTACAGACGTTCAGTTATATTATTAGATAACCTCAAGTCAGCACACTCTTGTAAGTGTTATAAGTGACTAGTAGCTGCGACGATAAGACCGCTGAACATAAAAATAATTAAGCATAGCAATAAAGTACACTATAGATATGAGATCAGAGGAAGATTGCGCCAGTAATGAGATTTTTAGCGAGCCACGCGTCGACATATCACATCGACACTCTCATAAATAATTGGCATAAATATTTGTCCATTGGTTTTCTCTAAAATAAACAAACACTAAATACGGCTTACTCCAGGGTACAACCACAGCGTAGTTGTAGGTTTACAACGTTAGATTTTTATATATTAACTCTCGCGGCCACATTGTTTGCAAATCAGGGAACGAAATGACGTACCCCTGATAGAAGCGACATTAATTTTCATACACTAGCACTTCTATTAGCATTTCAATCACTAATGGTCAGATAAGCAGGTATTCCCGTAAATGACATAAGTATTGGAAGTGAAAGAACGCCTGCACAGGTGGTGGGATGTTGGCTTCTTGTATTACCACCTGATCTTATTTATCACTCACAGTTGCACCTTCAAAGAAGTCTGTCAACTCAGTTGGAAGGGTTTTAGTAACTAAGTTCATTTTCTGTAAGTTCGTTAATCATTTTTTACACAATGTTACAAAATCTTCCTACCTTACACCCCTTCCCCCCTATTGCAGACATGTAAAAAGACGCTAGGTATGACAATAATCATACATAGTTATCAGATCAAACGTAGATAGTGCTAGTAATGAGATCGTTTTTTAGTAAGCCACGCGTTGACATAGCACATCGACACTCTATAAACAAAAGTCAGGACTTTTTTTAAAGTAAGACGTTGAATACCTACTATGTTATATAAGGTAACGATTATTTTATAACTGTTTTTCTTAAATTCTTGACAAATCAAGGTGATAAATACTCTATTAAAAATAATCAGCGCATTCCTAAAAACTTATCCTGATTATTATGAGAGATAGAACAACTTTTGTTTTATAATCTTAAAAATAAAGTGTTTGACTTATGATAAACAAAAGTTAGCGTATTTCTTTATGTAAAGCAACAATTCTTTCAATAATTAATAAAATAAGACGTTTTTTAACTCACAGGGAGAGAAATCAACCAATCACAATATCTTGCAAAAATATTATATTAATAGCCTAAATAACATTTTTTTCCGCCTTCGATTTCTCAACTAATTACTTTAAATGAAATAATATCTTTTCTCATATAAGACAACGCTTACTGTACGATTTATGAGGGTACGGGTTTGCCAACTTTGCTCACCTACAGCGCTACAGTCGTTTTTTTTATCCCCTCCAACCTGATGCACGGAGCGAATAGACGTGCTAACATACACACTTATACAGATACTCAACCTCTCCCTTCTTTTGTCATTAGGAAAACAGCTTGTAAATTTATTTAAAATAAAATAGGTTTATCTAAAAGTTGTCTTTAGGATGAGTGTGACTTATCTGAAAGTGATGTTTTAATAAGGTTACAGGTTAAATTGCAATTTTCGAAATAATTATAAAAAAAAGGTACAGTCAAATAATATAAATTTTTTGTAGTAATTCTAATGCTTCTTTATATTACCAGAGATGAAAAATTTTTAAGCGAAGTAGTTCTTGTTTGTGAAGGATTTTACTTTAAACATTATTTACCAGCTGTTCATAAGTACTTAAGTCAAAAACAATTTGGAGTATGCAAAAAAATTAGGCCTTTTAATGGAGTAAACATGAAAAATCTCAAAAATTGTTGATTTAAAAAAAAATGTTACAAATAACTTATTTAACATGTGAGTTGTGTACTATATTCTGACACTCACAGGTAAGGACTCAGTTTAGCTGGGTCACAGTAAAAACAAGAGAAAATTAATTTAAAGACTGAGTTAGGAAATAACGTGTACCTGATGCAAGCCAAAGCTAAAAGTACGACAAAAATGTAAAGATTACTTATTCTTTGTGTGACAATGTACGTGGTTTATGTGTAGCATAGATATTGTGTTGGTATAAATGTGTCAAATAAATAATTTGGTCATTGTTATGAAAGTCGTTTTATTAAAATGTTTGATGGATCATTAAAATCCTTCATGGGTTAGTAAATTATTAACAATTCATAAAATAACTTTAATCTATATAAGATGCTATTATAGGAGGCTGCAGATTAACAAGTATACAGACATTGTAAGTAGGGATTTTGTGATATCGTTGAAAAAAATATATATGAAAGAGAAATCCCTATTAATCTATTTTTTTAAATATTTGTAAACTCTCAAAAGTGATAATTAGCCTCTTATAAATAAAAAATTGTGTTCTTACATGTGCAAATAACATTGTCATATACTGCCCCACCACTACCACATACAGTGTCCTACTACTGCCATAATCCTCAAAGACTATGTCCCACTACTGGAGATTTCACGACTTATTTGAAAAATTATTTAATTAAACGGATAATGATAAGCACAGTCAATAAATATTGTTTCCTTAAGTAAAGACCTATATTTTCAATTTAAAAAAAAATTTAGATTAATTAGCATTGGTGGAACTTCAAAAATAAGAAATAAA